CCAGCGCGCACGGGTGGCCGCGGCCAGCACAAGTGGGCGGGGCGGCCGCCTCTCGCGACAGCCCGGGCCTGTCGGACCCGCCCCCCGCACTGATTGGCTGGGAGACCTGTCCGCGGCCGGGGATTGTTCGGGCCCCGCCAGCCGATTCGTCCGTGCTACGACCACGCCTCCGCGGGGGACTGTCGATCACAGCGGACCCGCCCCGTCCCAGCCCCCGGGGCCTGACGCGCCAGGATTGGTCGGCGGAGGTCGGCGAGGCAGAAAACCTGGGGCGGATTTCTGGTCCCTTTTGTTCCCGCAGATGTACGCGGATCCTTGTTTTGAGGGCGAAGCTAGGCGCCCGGCCTCTCTGCTTTATTACCCAGCGCGGTGCCGGAGGGGCGGCGGCGGGCTTGGAAGAGCTGCTGGAGCGGGGCTGCAGAGCCCAGGGTTCCCACCTTCGATCCGTCCTCGCTGGGCTGTGTGACCTTGGGCCAGTCCCATGGTCTCTCTGAGCCCCAGGCTCCTCCCGGGGAAACTGAGGGTAATAATGAGCGCCGGTCTGGGAGAAGGTGGTGAGCTCACAGAGGGCCTGGCGTTTGTGCCCGGCCGTGGGCGCGGGAGGGGAGCCCCGCACCTCCAAATCCAACCATTAGGACCCTCCACTCAGAGGTGGGCAAACTGAGGCGCAGGGGCAGGCGACTTGCCTCCCCTCGTTCCTGAAAGGCTTTCTTTGGTGTCCCGGGACCGGACCCGCTGTGCCTCCTTGACCGGCCCAGGTGAGCTGGTCCTGCGTGCCTGCCCTCCCGCCAAAGCCTTGCCCTCCCAAGCTCTGGGATGGGTCAGGAGCAGTGGGTCCTCCAGGATACGGTACAGGATGCCCTGGACCCCACCTGGAGCAGGCACCACCACCCACCGCCCTGGACAGCAGAGAGGGCCTGCCAGCCCTGCCTGCACTCCGGGACGATTTCTCTAGGGCCCCCAGGGCTCTTGGTTGGCTCAGGAGCAGCAGGAGACCAGGAGAGGGTCAGGTCGCTGGACCCTGTGTTCCCAGCAGCCCCGCACACCCAGGCTCCTTTGCATGAATAACGGAGCTGATCCTGGTCCTCTGGGCCTCATTCTCTCCCACGGCTCCTGGAACGGAGGTGGGTATCCTCCTCGGAGAGGTGGGTATCTGACTTCGAGGAGTCAGAGCTCCGAGGCAGCACAGGAGCATGGGGAGGCACGAAGGACCCTCTGCTTCCCACTGCTGAAGGCGGCTCTTCGGATTGAGAGGAGCTTAGAACCTGCCGGTGCCCCAGCCGTGCTGTGCACACCTAGATTCCACACCCTCCGGCCAGGTGTGTGACCTGCGCCGTTCACTCAACCCCTGGGACCCTCAGTTTCCAAGTCTGTAAAAGGAGACCAGCCTGCCAGCTAGCAGTGGTAATCAGAGATGCCGCTCGAACACCCTCGCTACTGAGACAACTGAGGCCTGAGCCTCAGGAGCTAAGGGTCAGGGGCCCCAAGTCCCCATGACCTTCTTGCTGCCTCTCGCTGTAGTATTCAACGTCACCAAGGAAGGAAGTGTTCCCCCTAGATTTCACGTTCACCTGGAGCCTCTGGACATGGCCTTTTGGGGAAGCAGGGTCTTTGCAGGTACAATCAAGGTAAGAAGCAAGATAAGTTTATGCGGATGAGATACGCCCCACATTCCTCGAGACAGAAAGAACCCACAGATATCTGGGGAGAAGGTCGTGTGAATTCAGGGGCAGAGATTGGAGCCAAGGGATGCCTGGAGTCACACAGACCCGGAGCGGCGGGAGGGATCCTCCCCGCAGCTTTCCATGGGAGCCTGGTCTGCCACCGCTTGGCTTGGCCTGCAGGATGGGGAGAGGACATGTTGTCATGGTTTCAGCCCCCTGCCTTTTGTGGTCACCAGGCAGGGAAATCACAGGAAACCAAGGCAGTGTCACTTCCCCTGCCCCAGAGCATGGCTGAGCTTGACTCACTTCTCAAGAGATTGTAAATCTCTGCCTGACAGGATCAGTGAGACCCAGACCCTCTTGAAGGAGCCGACAGCCAGGACTGTACTCTGAGACCCCCTACACCCCTGCAGCTCTGTCCCTGTCCATTCTGGGAAGGAAGGTGGACACACTGTCGGTCCAGCCAGTCCCAGCATCCTCTAGGTCTGGCCTGAGGCTCTGGGTGAATCCAGGACCCTCTCCCTCCCCTTGCCTCTGGCCTAGGTGCAATGAGACCCCGGCGGCCAGGGGAGTGGACCCTCTCCCCCTGCCAGGCACAGGGCCTGCCCAGCCCTGAAAGGCTTGGAGGTCCCCAGGAGGAGGCTGCCAGAGGGCCTGGACCAAGGCTAGGTCAGAGGGAGGGCAGCTTCCATGAGAGCTGCAGGATCCAGGGTGGGCGATATGCAGAGGACATGATTGGTGGGCAAGGGGTGGAGCGCCCCATTTGTAGCGCTGCACGGAGCACATGTTCTCAAAAGAGTCATAGAAATCTAAGGTTTACCACAAATCCCCCAATTAGGTGATTTTACAACAAAGGTGTGATCCCAGGCCTGGGTTTTCCTCCTGTCTGAACTGGTGACCTGACTCATCGGGCCGCAGGAGGTGATGGCCAGGCCCCCACAACACCCAACACCACATCAACACCTCGCTTTCCTTCTCACTGAGAACGTGGCCCAAGAGGTGGAGTGTGGAGCCCTGTAGCAATTAGGATGAGGATCCTCAGATACGGAAGCTTCAGGGCAGTGGTCAGGGGCGTGTGGGCTCCAGGTGTAACTCCTCCCTCTCTGAACCTTCCCTGGGATTGCGAAGGTGCCAGCCAGTACCCAGCCCCTGGTGGGGGCCTGATTAGGTGGACCCCTGGACACCAGGACAGGCCTCCTGTCCCGTCCTGACAGCCCCGTGTGACCCCACCACCTTGTTGGAATTGGAGTTTGACCTCAGTCAATTGCCCCCAACTCTGCCCCTCCCAGGACGAAATCACAAACATGACGTGTCGTTTATTGGCTATTCCTGCAAACTGTAGGCTCCAAAGGTGTCACCTGGTGCCAGCTTTTCCTGGCTGAGGCTCCTGACAAAGTTCACGTAAGGCCGTAAGCAGGCAGTTGTTCCCGAGGGATGCCCCGCCTTGGCCTCCTCACAGGGTGCAGTCTTGTCCCGCAGACTGCTCCTGGGGTGGCAGGCATTGAACACACTTGGTGTCTTCCAGTGGACACTACCTGGGCTCTTGTTCCCACATGGAGAGGCCTAAGCCCGGCCCAGGAAGGAGCCAGGCTCCCTCCAGGAGAAGCAGCCATGGAACCTGATTTCTGGGTCCGCCCAGTGAGTCCTGACACCTCACGGGCTGGCGTCAGCAGAGTGACCTGCGTTAGGGATGGGGTCTTGCTGTGTGGCCCAGGCTGGCCTTGAAGTTCTGGGCTTGTTCAGTACCCCCGCCGCTGCCTCCTAGTACAGTTGTGTCTGGAAAAATGACATTTTGCTATTTCTGTTTCACCTCTTGCTCCTCTCTACCAATAGCACACACACACACACACATACACAGATGCATTACACACATTTTCTTTCTGGGGTATTTTCAAGTAAATAAATTGGAGGTTAAATAAATAAGCATGCATATATAAATTGTGCAGTTCTGACTATGAAGTAATGCATGCTACTTGTAAAGAGATTATATCTCACTGAGAAATAATGTAAAGTGTCACTGAACTGTCCTGTCTCAGTCCACAGCCAATTTAAAAATATATTTTGCTAGACGCTTTTGTACTCGCGTCTACGTATGCCTCACTTTCACAGAAATGGTTAAGGGTACTCGGCATCTGTCATCCTACTTTTGTTTTGCTTCATTGATTGTTTTGAGACGGTCTTCCTGTGTAGTTGAGGCTGGCCTTGAACTTGCAGTGCTCCTGCTCTGCGCACTTGGCCTCCCTGAGCGCGGGGCATGGGCATGCGCCACCACTTCCGGCTGCCGCTCTGATTTCTCGGCACCCCCTGGATGTTGGTCCATGTCAGCGCCTCCCTCCTCACTCATGGTTTGCTGGAGTGGGCCAGCACCTACTTCACAGTCGCCCAGCGTGGGGCATGCAGGTTGTTCCTGCGCTGAGACACTCCTGAAGGACAGTCCTGCTGCCCGGCACTTTGTGCCACGCCGAGACCTGATCCACCCCCTCCGCAGTTCAGAGAAGAATCGAGTTTCAGAGCCCGGAAAGATGGAGGAGCTGGAGGGCTTCCCAAGGCCCTGGGAACCAGGTCTGCCCACCGCCGTCGCGGCGGTG